GTATGATTTAATATATACACACAAGGTGGCATACTAATGTATTGTTGTATGATTAAATACATACACAAGTAGGCATGTTAATGTACTGTTGTATGATTTAATATATACACACAAGGTGGCATACTAATGTATTGTTGTATGATTAAATACATACACAAGTAGGCATGTTAATGTACTGTTGTATGATTTAATATATACACACAAGGTGGCATACTAATGTATTGTTGTATGCGTTCGTTCACTATCTCGGTTACCAGAAGCATGATGAATACCGAATTAATAACACACTGATTTTGGTTGTGACAACAAAATGGGATATCTAAATCTTTTAAACACTGGTTCGTGTGATTGCGTACGTACAAGAAAATATCCTAATCACTTTTCGACTTAGTGGTGCACACTACCACATGGCATAAGAAACTTAAAATCACCGAAGTGTGAAAATTTTTACCTGTTTTGTAATGCATTAGCGGTTATGTTAGGCTACGGTTCATTACCTCATGCTTCAGTTCAAAGATGACAATTTCATATGATTTTACATAGCAAAATAAGCACCTACACGTGGTTAGTACAGTATGTAAACGTTTACTTGAAGACATCACAAAATCAAAGCTACACCTACGTAATATTTTGTAGCCACCAATGATAACCATTAAAAACTGTCGTTAATATATGTATATCTAGACGTGCCTTCTATGTGACAAGTACTGAAGGAAGAAATAGCCTAGAAATGGAGATAGGAACAACCTGTGCAGACGTAAACCGTTGCACCTGACTCTCTCTCTCTCTCTAAGCCCATAAAACTTAAACGTATTAATTTCCAAGTTAATACTGTTATTTGCTTTTACCTGGGTGTCTTCAAAAGATCAGAGTGATATAGCTTAAAACAGAAATTAACTACCTCAACATGCATAGTCACTTAATTGTTATCAGTTTTATTTTATATTGTATGAAGTTTTTCTACGATGTTTTTACATGTGCCATGATTTTTAACTATAGTCTGCTTGACATTCACTCAGTTAATATTTATTTCGTCTTACACAATACTTAGTTATTATATTGCATTATATAATATCATAGGCCTACAAGTTTGTTTCCAAAGAAAACTTTCAGAATTCTTTTAATTTCAGTCTAAAAAACGTGATTAAAAGTGTCCATTTCTATCACCGTGTATCGTCATTTTCTCCCGCCTTTTGTTCAAATACGCCTGTTCTGTACTTTTGTAAACACATCTGAGTGAAGAGTAGAATTTTATCATAGGGCAGCCATGTTTCACATAAGTGTACTCCCCCCACCCATTTTTACTTGTATATTCATGTTACTTATTAAGACTATTTTATAACATTTTAAAACACTCAAATTCTAGAAGCAGTTTCGTCAGTGTTCCCCATATTTTACAGGTATATTATTGTAGTCTTGTTATGTTTTTTTTTTTTTTATAACATTTCAAAATATTGTAAATTTCTGGAAGTAGTTTCGCCAGTGTACCCATATTTTTTACTAGGATTCGTGCAACTTGTTAAGTTTTTTTTTATTACGTTTTAAATAATGCCAGATTCTGAAAGAAGCGTTTCGCCAGCGTGCCCCATACGTTTATGGTTTAGTAACACATCTGTGTGATAGGTTGGAAATTTCAGACCATTGTCTCTGTATGTGTGTGTGTGTGTATCGACTTCTCATGCAAGATAGAAAAGTTATGGTAAACACGAGGTTTTTAACGTCAGGATTATGTTATCGTGGTGCCCTGTATTATAATTACATTTTACGACACAAGTTACAGTATAAACACCAAACGTACTTCTTCATGGGCTATTTGAAATTTTCAGTAACTTCTACGGATAAAGTATGTATGTGATTCATTAGGTTATAATAATTACAAACTAGCAGTTATTGATATAAACATCAAACAAATTGGATGAAGTTTTTTATACATGAACAAAATGTACTCACCTGCAACAAACACGACACGAAGATTGAGCTATAAGTCACCGGTGGAAATCCCATTGTAGCTGCCATATTAAATATTTCCTTACTGCTAATCACGTTACAGCACTAGTGCTCGTTAACTATTTGTAAAACGTTCAACAATTATTTACAACGTAGTTACTACCGTTCTCTTGTATTAGGCTTAACAAACACGCACCCGTTTGTCACAACTGAGAAAATATAACACTAACAGCACGAGTCAATGGAATTGTTCTCTTTCTGTTGAAAAAATCACAAATTGTAAACATTTCTTTAAACTCTATTTTCAAAAGGCCGTTAAGACACTAACTATCTTACCCGATTACGTTAACAAATGTTGCATAGGTCTAATATTTACCTCAATTTTTTCTTTTTTTTTAAATAACAGCTAAAAAAGTGAAACCACGCCTCACGGTTTGCAACTCACATCGCTCTCACGGAACAGTGAATTCTACGTATATATCTCACTAGGCTTCGGAGACGATGTTTCGACAATCCTGGCGAGTTTGCAGCAGGCATTGTACATGCGCATGCGTGACGTGCAGCAGACTTTGCGGAAGTTGGTGACGAGGTGTATAGATCAGTCTTTTGCTTAACAGGCACAACAAAATCTTTTCCAGGCCTTTAATGCGCAGTTGGCTTTTAGTATTACATTTTAAGCAAATAATTCAGAAACTTCACACATAAAAACTTTTATGATACGAAGATATATTAATTTTATACAAGTAAAACGAAACGGGTGAGACTGGGTGTTTGTGTTTTTAGACAACGTTTTTCCAACTGGGTGTTGTGCATTTGGTAAGAGTCTAATTTTCAAAAATCTTCTGATGAATACACGGTATAAGATTATTATAATATTTAACACATACGTAACCCAGCTACCTTGGTTTATACAAAGAATTGTCACAACACTGAATGTTCTGGTGTACTCTTTCATACCAATAACATAAAAATTTTAAATCAAATTCTAGTTTCACTTTGTTTTTTAAGGACAAAGCTGCACAATGGGCTATCTATATTATATCAATTTCTTACCTTTGTTTATTTGTTATATAGACTTTTGCTAATGCACTGGTAGTGTCGCAGAAATTGACCGATAAGATATGGTAACGTCACTGTTGAAGTAAAGTTCATAAAATAAGGGATAAATTAAATACGATCGAGTAATAAAATAAAGTACTATTGTTGGCGGGGTAACAATATTTTTAAAATTTGCTTATAAGACACGTGGAATCTGAATATTATTACCAATACTTCATTTGAAATAATATATATATATATATATCCCATGTTTATCATGAAAGCGTTAGTTGATTCAAGTTACTAAGTGGCACACTCTCGTGTTTTTTTGGTTTTTTTGGTTTTTTTTCATGCACATCTTATCATATCATATGAAACAAATACAGTTAAAATTGCTACGAAAACAACGTTGTACGAAAGTTATAAGTAACGTATAAAATTATATGATATATGACTGCCTATGAAAGAAAAAAAATGCGACTTCTATTTTAGGATGGCGTGGGTCATAACCCTAATCACTTGGCCCGAACCATGCAAGGAAAAACTTAATGGAGAAATTGTAATTAAAAAGTGGGCAAACCATGTCAAAATAAGCATGTTCTCATTTAATCTAATTAATAAATATGCTAAGTTTCGTAAACACATTCATCTTATGTCTAAGACATCATAACTAGACCTGTCAGGGCCTAGTGGTTAGCATACTCGGACTGCGAATATGAGGATTCGTGGTTCGCAGCCCGTTGTCTGAAAAACGGTCTCCACACTTTGTGGTTGTGAGTGGCAGTTAAATCCCACTATTTGGTCAGATAACAGTAGTTTAAAAGTTGTCGGTAGGTGCTATTAACCAGTTGCCTTCCTTCTTATCTGTCAGTTTTTTAATTGAGGATGGCTATGCGCAGACAGCCCTTGTGTTGCTTCGTAAAAAATAATCATAAAACAACTGAATTAAACAGTTTCAATCCTTTTGCTTGGCTTAATCTTCCAAAAAACTGTAGCAAAACTGTGTTTTTGGGGCTTATCTTTGGCCTAAAGCAAACTTGTCCATAACTGTAGAGCGCTAAATGTTAATTATAATTGATTTGTTTAATGCTAATAGTTGATAAATTGATAAATGTATACGGAATTATTTTAATTATATGTTTTGTTTTTGTTTGTTTTAGCGAAAAGTTACACAACATGCTATATGCGCTCTTTCTTCTGCTGCTAATCAAACACTAGATTTAATCATTGGAAGTCCGTAAGCTTACCGCTGGCCTCCTGGGTGGATTAGTTGTACGTTTGTGATCCAGCCAAAGCAATCTTTAAAATGTTTAGTGGGTGGAACCAGTGACGTGCACGCAGGTGGGAGTGCTGGTTTCTAAATTCAAACTTCCAATTCATGTTAGATATACGGTTACAAAAATTCACTGTTCTAATTCGATGACGAGGAACCCACTTTGAGACCAATAATGCTTGGAGACGGCTTGAATGGGTAATGAAGAAAAACTTTAATATAAGTTTAATATAACAGCAAATGTATAACACTAATGTCCACTACACCAAAACTTGTCGATATTTTCAAAAGCAACAAGACTTTCAAAAGCTATAAAAAGTTAAGACTATTTCTTAAACTTACAGACTCTTTGGAGTCGAAACAAATAAGCTACACGAGGGCTATCTGCGCTAGCCGTCCCTAATTTAGCAGTGTAAGATTAGAGGGAAGGCAGCTAGTCATCACCACCCACCGCCAACTCTTGGGCTACTCTTTTACCAACGAATAGTGGGATTGACCGTCACATCATAACGCCCCCCATAGCTGAAATGGCGAGCATGTTTGGTGGGACGGGGATTCGAACCCGCGACCCTCAGATTGCGAGTCGACAAAGAAGCTAATGTTAGCTTATAACAATAACCTAACATTAATATACAGGTTCACAAACTCTTCGGAGTCGATACAGAAATATCTGTCTCAAATGGCCACTCGATCTAAACTAAGACCAAACACTAAAATTAAAAAAAAAACCTTTTTAACGGAAATTTGAGTCCTTTTATATAAATTAAAATATATTAATGGCTGACAAAAATGTCAACAAATACTAGGAGATAAAGATATACATCTGCTTCCACACATCTTGCTTACTGCGAATTATTATAATAAATAATTCAGCTTTAAAATGAATGGTGCACGGGGAATTGTAAGTTCTTATAATATAAAAATAATTATTATATACTATTAGTACGCAAGAATTTACTCTTTAGTTTCAGATTTCCAATATGTTTATAAGACTGATTGAATGGGAATAAAAAAGGATCTGTTTGCTTTTCATAGTTTACTATCCTATGTGTACCAGAAGCAACCCAGATCCCCTACAATTTTCCTTAATATACCCCCTAAAAACATATGGTTGCCTTACGATTCTTGAAAACTGTTCGTTTTTATTAGTGAGCACTGCTCATTTAATGTCATCTGCACATCACCAGGTGGAGCTAATTGTTTGGCTTTTTTCCAAAAACATGACAACCAGTCATGAAAATCACGTTTGAATGCAGGTGTTTTTGTTACAATTTTCTAGTAGCAGATAAAAAAATAAAGAGAGGGAGAGAGAGACCTGATTCGAAAGCTACGTAAAGGAATTTGATAATCAATAAAAAGGAAAAAAAAATTAGATATCGAATGCCTTTATTAGGCCTAATACCTTTTCTTGCTTCGCCAGCTTAGACATTCTACACTATGGTATTCAAATTCTTGTGCTGTATACACACAAACACGCCCCCCCCCCAGTAACACAGCGGTATGTCTGGGGACTTATAACGCTAGAAACCGGGTTGCGATACCCGTGATGGGAAGAGCACAGATAGCCCATTGTGTAGCTTTGTGCATAACTTCAAACAAACACACACTCATACACAAGAATACAATGAACCAAATACTAAATTTTGCTCAGGGAAGTGACTATAAAAATGAAACAACACAAGCATATTTGAAACGTTTTAAAAAAATCTTTATTATTGTTAGTTTTAACTTTTTTTATTAAGTAGGTCTTATCAGATTATTTTATTTTAGATACTTATTTGGGCTGTTATGTACATGTGTGTTTTTGTTTACTTATCTGGTATTAATAAAAGAAGAGACTTCCCGACTGGTGTTTTGTATTTAGACTTTATGAAAGACATAAAAATGTTATTTTTTTACTACACATTTGATCCGTAAAAAAAAAAAAAACTAATTACGGGGGAGTTTATGAAGGCCATTTACTGTCAAAGTTATTTTTCAGCTTTTCTTAGGCCTAACAAGTCTCCTTTCTCCGCCGCTTTAGGCGTTATGCACTACACTATTTTAATAAGGTTTCAGAAGAAAAAAATACAGTAGTTTGTATAGCTGCTACAATCTTAATGACGCAAGGTGTATGCCTACTGAAATGACTGGGCAATTTAATTAATTGTTAACCTATCCACCCAGTTCTCTTGTACTTGCCCTTCAGTTACGTAACAGTCAGTTGAGAAAAAAATAATGCATGAAACTACAAAATTAGCATCTCAAAACATTTCCCATAATGCCTCAAGTGAACAACAGCTTTCCCAACTCTAATTACTCCTGTCCATTTAGCAAAACGTTATCCATTTTTTTAAAATCTGAGTTATTGTTTGCTTGTCGTTGTTAAGCACAAAGCTACTTAATGAGCCATCTGTTTTCTGCCCACGGCCAGTATCGAAACCCAAATAAGCCCGCAGACATACTGCTGAGCCATCGTGGGGCCTGAGTTATTGAACGTGAACATAATTAACGTTACCAAGAGCAGAATAAATTGAAGAGATAACTTCTAAATACGTAGGAGAAGGTTATGTAATAATATTTACGCCACGAAACGTTACATAGCAGATATTATAACAAAACAGAACAATTATCCATAACCAATATAACAAAAAACTGTCAAGTCATACAATAAAAATAAAGTATCAAAAGTGAACATATTTTGCGATCATAGTGGCAATGCAAACTTACTGAAAATTGATTCACATGCATGATTGGCAATTTAAAACCTAACTACCCCCCCCCCTCTCCCAGTAAGCTCGGTTGCTTATAGTGCTATCATTAGGGACTCGATTTCTGCAATGGGTACAATGCAGGTTAAATAGGCCATGCTGCCCTAAAATCCAGTGTTAGATATCCCGCCCATTGTGTAGCTTTGCACTAAGAAAACAAGTATTAAGCCATTGTGCAACAGCTTTGGGCAAGTTTGGAATATATATATTATAAGCCGAGCTTAGCAGTTCGATAAAAATCAAACTTAAAACTAGTTTCGTCACTTCTTCAAGAATTGATACTCATTTTTATCATCGCCGATATGTCTTTGGCAAAACTAATCACAAGAAGGCCTTTAAGGGAAATAACTTCCCCTTTCGTCTTCTGTATATTGTTTTGACTACTTCAATCACACAAGAATCAGCAAGGAAGCACTACATCATATAACACTGTGTAAGGCCTCATTAAAGAAAAAGTATTAAAGCCATAAGACACTGTTATATTAACACTTAAGTAAAGAAGTAAAAATTTAAATCCAAAACGATTCGAACCCGAAACGCTGTTCAGTAGGCATATATTCTACAGCCATCTAAGCTTCGATATACTACCCGTTCAGTAACTACAAAGGACAGTGTACTACCCTTCAGTTACTACAAAGGACAGTGTACTACCTGTTCAGTAACTACAAAGGATAGTGTACTACCCTTCAGTAACTACAAAGGACAGTGTACTACCTGTTCAGTAA